CCTGTTGAGACAGAGGAGGGGAGGTGTGTGTGTGTGTGTGTGTGTGTGTGTGCGCGCGCGCTCGCGCCTCCTCTCTGTGCTGTGGCGGGAGGTCTCAAAGCGGGTGTAGAAAGTGTTGAGGTCATTCGGCAGGCTGTCTGTGGAGCTGATGATGCTGGTGGTGGTCCTGTAGTATGTGATGTGCTGCAGGCCTTGCCACATCCATCCGGATTAAGTAGTAGAATAGAAGCCATTCAGCTTCTCTTTGCACTGCCTCTTGGCCGCTGTGATGGCTTTCCTCAGTCTATACTTTGCAGCTTTGTACTCCGTCTCATCGCCTGATCTGAAAGCATGAGAGCGAGCACGCAGCATGTGGCGTACCAGACTGTTTATCCAGGGCTTCTGGTTGGGGACCCTCCTGACTTCTATGGTGGGCACAGTGTTGTTGATATAGGTACTAATGTACCCGGTCACATACTCAGCATAATCCTGTACGCTGACAGAAAAGTCCTCTGAGGCGGCTGCAGCTTTAAACAAAATTATTTTATAACCCACTTCAACTGTCACAATTGAAGTGGGTTTTCCTGTGACCCCAGGGGGAAGTAATGAGCAAATTGCTGCTTGTCACACTGTAGTGAGACGAAGAAGACAACAAAATAAAGGGGGCCAGGCCTACCTTCTCTTATAATGCACAATGGCTAACAAAAAAATAAAATAAAAAACTAAAGTTCAACTAAAAGAGTCTCAGACAACTGACAGGTCTTGCGACTGAGTTGACCAGTCTACTTTCAGGGGACGGCCCTAATGTTACTCATTGTAATACTTTGAGTATTTCATTGTTTGGATTAGCCAGTTATCAAGTATGTCCATTTGAAAATATTTGCTGAGTTGAATTTGAAAGAAATAAGCCCCTGAATGAACACGATTGGTTATAAAATAATTTTGTATGTTATATTTTGAAAACGGATACATTTTTTGGAGGATGAATTGAATAAAGAGAGCATAGTTTGTGCCTTTAGGGTGAACTTTCAATTACAGGCCAGCCAGACTAGCTGTGTGTAATATGACCACATATCAGTAAGCCATGCCCAAAATATGGGCTCCTCAGAAGTGAAAGTATAATGTGTTGACTGTCTCCTTTCATTCTCTTTTAACAGGCTATTCTAAAACAGAGTGCAAGCGGAGGAGAGGAGAATAAAGGTGCTCAAAAGTCTTCAGGTTAGGGTGAAAAATACAATTTCAATTGTGAGAAGCACCATAATAACATGCTTGTTTTTCTTGTTGTAATGACACTGATTAATCTGCAGAATTAAGAGTATAATAACTGCCTTGTTTTAGCTGGCAAACCTAGTTTTCACTATAGATAGATTATTCTGATGTGCGTCTTTATGTGGCACCTAAATTGTTTTGAAAACACAAAAAATTAACTCCCTACGTGAGGAGACTGGAAAAATGTATTTACAGTGGAAAATTTTCCCTGATCTGAATTGGGTGGGTAAAAAAACAAAAATGGTTGATATAGGAGGTAGTACAAATTACATTCAGGGTGTAAATGTGTACTTCCATTATCAGTCAATATTTTTACTAGAAAATACAGTTTTGAATGTGTTCTCATTTCAGCAGATACCAAGTCCTCAGAACTGAAGCAAGGCGAAGACGTCTGTTCAGACCCACACCAGTCTAGTGAGAGTTCAGAGACAACCCAGACAATTGGAGACAAAGAGATGGAGGAAGAGAGAGTAAAGGAACAGGAGGCATGTGAAGCTGAGCCTGAGCCAGAAGAAGAGGGAAATGAACTCATGGGAACAAAGCCGCAAAATACAACTGAAGAGACAGAAATCCCAGATAGTGATCCAGGCACTGAAAAGTCAGTCAGTGAAAATGGTGTGCCAGCTGATGATAACATGCAGTCATTCAAATGCAATGCCTGTTTGGAAACTTTTTCTAGCAGAACTGCTTTGAGTGTTCATTACAACTCTGCATCCCACATTCAGAGGATGACGACACGTTCTGCAAAACAAGATGCAGAAAAGGATCCTCAACCCCCCTCAGTTTCTGCCCTTTCTCGACCATATATAACAAACAAACCCTATCAGTGTGCTATATGTCGAGTCTCATACAATCATGCCATCACCCTCGAGAGCCATATGAAATCTGTCTTGCACCTGAACAGCACAGTGGCTACTGCTGGTTTGGGAAGTAGGACCACCAGTTCTCCAAACACTGTAGTGAGCACATCTGGAAGTGGAACCAGTCAGTCAGTGACCACCACCAATTGTGCTGCTGCTGGGACTGTGATGTTGACTACAAAAGATGGAGAGCAGATTCAAAACTCACAAGTGGTTCCCTCCTTCCTCACCTCCCCTGTGGCATCAGCTCAAGCAGTCTCAGCCTTCCTCACCCTCCTCACATCAAGTCCCAACACACTCTCACACTCCATCCTACCCTCCCTATTTGCAGCTGGTGCTGCTCCTGGTGCCACCACACCTCAGCCTCAAATGGTCATGCCTTTGATTTTGAATGGATTGCAAGCCCAAACCCAGCAGCACCAAGAGAGCCAGCAAGGCCCTATTCTTACCCAGTGTGTTCCATTTGTAGGTCTCAGCACAGCCCAGCAAGCTCTCTTAACCCAAAGACTTAACAACTTACAGAACCAGTGGCCATCCACAGGAGTTCAGTCAAACTTAAAGCTCTGCTTGGAAGAGCAAAAACAAAGTAAGTGTGAGAGAGAGCAAGAGAGGGAGGGCAGTGAAGAGAGAGTTGAAGAGAAGGTCTCAACTCAGATCAAGGATAAGAATAACTGGACAGCAGAGAAGATGAAAACAGAGAAACTTGAGGAAGAGAACAGTGAAAAATATGCACAGAGTCTTAATATAGAAAGCAGAGTCAAGTTTGAGAATAATGAAGACATTGGAAAGGCACATAGAGATAGCACAACAGATGGAGACAGCTCAACTAATCAGTTGGACCTGGAAGGTGATAAAGCAGCTTGCCTGACTCTCTCTTCAGCAAGTGCAGAAAAGAGCCTCTGCAATAGCAACCTCTCACCTTCTGCATCTGTACCCAGCAACTCAAGCCTCAGTCCTATAAATTTAAATCTTACACTTAGCCCTGACTCTACTCCTCAGAAATCACAATCAGGCAATAGCCCTTGTGGCTCTTTTGTTACCCCAAAATCCAGCCCATGTATAAATGCCTTAACTAAGAACCAAATTCAACTCCACTGTAATACAAAAGGATCCATTTTTCCAGACCTTCCACTGCTGTCAGAGTTCCAGTCAGAGGTTCTCTGGGCATTTTTTGAGTCGCGTAGTGAGGCTGATGCCGCAAGTCCTCCCCATGAGGACTATGAGGCACTAGGCAGGGAGGTGGGCCTTTCTGCAGAGGAGGTATGTAGGTGGCTGAACACAGCCCGACATGCCAAACAGAGGCAGAGGGTGGCAGAGTTAGAATATCTGCGAGGCTTAGCAGGATCTACAAGGCATAGCCAAAGTTCTGACAGTGATGATGAGGAAAGCTCACTGATAATAGCAGAAGGTGAGGATGAAGCTGAAGCTTCAGGGAGTCAGGCAATAGATTTGTCTCATACAAGAGGAGAATGCAGACAGAAAGATTTAGAAAGGGAGGGTCAAGGAGATTCCTGTCTCACGTCTGACTCAGAAAATGAGGTTTACACTTCTGTCATTGTTTCTGATGATGAAAATCAGAGTGGATCTTTGAGGGAAGGCCCTGAGAGCCCTGTTAAAGTACAAGGACAGCACAAGATTCATGTTGATAAGGGGTCAGTGGGAGGAAAGGTCTTGCGTTCCACAACTGTGTTTCTCTCAGATGCAGAGGATGAGTATGATGAGGAAGAATATGGAGGGGGTCAGAGGGCCAAGAGGAAAAAACACAAGGGAGAGTTTGTACATGATGAGGTGGACATAAAGAAGGAGAGACAGGACCCAGATGTGGATCTAGAGTTAGAGGCCCAAGGGGATCCACCAGGTTCACAGTGTCGCCTAATGGACCATCCTGCATTTCCAACCAGTGCTCTGCATTCACTTCCCTTATCCCTCACTCCGTTTTCTACTCAGTTCCTTAGTCCCTATGTCTTCTCTTTAACTCCTTCAGTGGTTGGAGATGGGCACAAAGTACCTGCCTTTCCTAATTCACCAACCATCACTCGCTTTTCCAGCTCTCTTCTCTTGCAGTCTCTCTCCTCCCACAACCAAACTTCTCACTACTTGTCCAATGGTGGTGACTGTGAGGCTGCTCTGGATCTCAGCATGGGGAAAAACAGCTCAAAACGTGTTTCTTCCTCATCTGTTTTAGCTGATAAAGCTGCAGCACACAAAGGACAGTTGCTGGATGGGCTTGGCCTGAGACCCACATCCAAAGGCTTGGTAGTTGTCCAGGTTAAGCCTGAATCTGTTACTGGCATGCCTGCTTCCAACAGCAGTACAAACCTGGTTAGCTGCAATAACATAAAGTCTAATATTTATGCCAGGGGAACAGAGAAAATGAGTGCTACACTTTTGGAAAGGGAACGAGAAAATGAGAAAGAGAAGGAAAAGGAGACAGAGCAAGAGCAGCAGCAGAGGAAGTCCAAAGGAAAAAGGTATCGGGATATGCGACGTTCAAGAACGATTATCCAAGCTGAACAACTTGACATTCTATATGGTTGCTATTTCAAAGACCCAAATCCTGGAAAACATGAGTTTGAACAGATTGCTGAGTGGGTCCACCTTCCAAAGAAGGTTGTTCAGATTTGGTTTCAGAACATGAGAGCAAGGGAGCGAAAGGGTGAGGTCAAGTTTATCAGTGATGGGACACTGGCAGCGGTTGGAAAACCTCTCATCAAATTTACCTGGCCTCTTTCCAAACCTATATTCTCCCACAAGCCTGCTACAAACAATGCTGGGTGCATTACAACCACTCCAATTGTGCGCACCCTCATAAAGTCAGAGAGGGAGCCTGTAAAGGAGCAGGGCAAACCAGCACTGGTGAAAAAAATTACCCCAGTTCCTATCAAACCCAAGGAGGTAGTTTCCTCTATTGCAGTCTCTCCTGTGAGCAGCAGTGCCTCTGCAGTGCCAAAGACCAAGCTTGAAACCACCAGTAACCTCAAAATGGTCAAAGTTGCACCCAATGTTAACACCCCTGTCCTTTTAGCACCACCCAAGGAGCCAATCCCCATTGCCCCACGACTGACCCAGAAACGAAAACTACAAGAGGAGAGCGAGGAGGAAAAGACTGATGAAGAGAGAGACAATGAAAATGAGAGGGGTCCGGGACCAGGGACTACTAACCGCATGGTGCCCAAGCTGCCCACAACTCCCATCAATAGGTCTCATGCTACAACAGTGCTGCCACAGAAACAGAATGGGCTTAACTACTGGACTCCCAAAATCCCCATCAAGATCAACACATTATCAAGAGAACAACTTGCACTTCCCACACACACGCCTTCTCGTACCATCGCCCCCCCTACCACCCCTAGCATTGCACCAGTTAGTCCTAATACACCCAGCTCTGCCAAGGTGGCCAGCCCCTCCACCCCAGTCGCATCAAAATCAAGCTCAACAGAGAGCAGCAATCTACCCCACTCATCCAGCCGAAGGCCACGCACACACCTGTCCTGCCTGCAGCTATCCATTCTGCAGTCCTGCTATGAGACTTGTGCCCACCCTAATGCAATGGAGTGTGAAGCAATCGGCACGGAGCTCAACCTGCCACTCAAGGTGGTGCAGATCTGGTTCCAAAACACCAGAGCCAAGGAGAAGCGCTGGAGGTTGCAGCAAGAAAAAATGGTAAGTGGGGTTTACTTTCGTACTTCAAAGACTTAACAGTAGAGATGCCCTGATTACAGTTTTCTTGGTTGATTCTGGCTTTTTTTTCTTCTAAGTGTGACCTACAAAATCACATCACTGTGCACAGCCAAAACTAGTAAAATGCAGAGCAAGTAGGTCACTGATGCTTGTTGTAGACTGCACTGGACCTTTCTTTCTGTGACTGGGCAATAATTCTCCAGTAGCTATCAGCAGTAGATCCTAGCGTAGTGAACGTTTTAGGTTTCGTCAAAATTCAGTTGACACTGAAATTACTGCCCATTGTAATTAGAAACTAAAAAAAAATAGCTATCTAATTGCGAATGCAACATGGAAACATTGAATTGATTATTTTTTGTGTTTATGTTTGCTTTATTGGAGTAATTATTTAAAAAAAAAGATTCATGTGATGATAATGGTTTAAATCTTACTGCCCAGCCCTGTGTTGTTTTGTTTAGTTTTTTCAAAACGTTTCGCTGACAGCAAAAGTTCTGAATATACAGTCAACATACAGTGGGTACGGAAAGTATTCAGCCCCCCTTAAATTTTTCAATCTGCTATATTGCAGCCATATGCTAAAATCATTTAAGTTCATTTTTTTCCTCATTCATGTACACACAGCACCCCATATTGACAGAAAAACACAGAATTTTTGACATTTTTGCAGATTTATTAAAAAAGAAAAACTGAAATATCACATGGTCATAAGTATTCAGACCCTTTGCTCAGTATTTAGTAGAAACAGCCACTTTCAGGTCTGAAAATGGCTGTCCACCAACGTTTACCATCCAACCTGACAGAACTGGAGAGGATCTGCAAGGAGGAATGGCAGAGGATCCCCAAATGCAGGTGTGAAAAACTTGTTGCATCATTCCCAAAAAGACTCATGGCTGTATTAGCTCAAAAGGGTGCTTCTACTAAATACTGAGCAAAGGGTCTGAATACTTATGACCATGTGATATTTCAGTTTTTCTTTTTTAATAAATCTGCAAAAATGTCAAAAATTCTGTGTTTTTCTGTCAATATGGGGTGCTGTGTGTACATTAATGAGGAAAAAAATGAACTTAAATGATTTTAGCATATGGCTGCAATATAACAGAGTGAAAAATTTAAGGGGGTCTGAATACTTTCCGTACCCACTGTATATGGTGGTAGAAGGTGCGTTTTGCTATTCTTAAAAACAATAATAGTGCCTGATGATTACACTAACCGGCCACTTTATTAGGCACACCTGTACAATTGTATGCACTTCGATGCAACACTTGCACCTTAACACTTGTGTTTATGGAGCTCAAAATTGTTCTGTTTTTGCTGAAATTGTCAAATGTATAAATTCAATTATATGTTCATTATTGAGGTCAGTTAAAGGTGGTTTTGTTCTGGACTACATTATATTCAGAGGTGTGCCTAATATTCTGACCCTCTCATGTATGTAACTGGGGAGAACAAAAATATAGACACACCTCCAAATATAATGTAGTATATCACTGCCATAAAGAAAGACTTGCTAAATTGTGCATGTAGAAATTATATTAGGGCTTGAATATTCTCTGGAGTCAAACTTCTAATACAGTTCAGAATTTAGCAGATATGACAGTGAATGTCTTCTCTGTCTGTTCTTCTCTCTC